GTAGTTCTTCTTAAGCCAGTTTTCCTTAAACATTTGCACTATGTGTTTATAAATCAACGCTTTATCTTTAAAAAAACACGACTCAAATCCAGATTTGGCTTATATCAAAACAGATTACTTTGAAATACACAGCTGCATGTGTGCGTGTAAAGTATCTAAGTGCTATCAATATTCTCCGGAATAAGAGCTGAGAACATTTAGGGACAAATCCTCCAAAATTTCAGTGGGATGATGGCTCCTAAATAGAGATAGAAAAGCTTTGCACAGCCATCACTGAGCTGGGAAGTGCCCAAGGATTCTGGGCTTTCCTGATGCTCAGGATCCTGTTCTGTGCTCTCATCCAGGCCACTTTGGTCTTGCCTGAGCCTGAGCTGCTCCTCTGTCTCCTTGTCCCCCACGGATCCCACATGCCATTTCTCTCCCCTCCATGGCTCCTCAGGTCAGTGGGGAGGATAACGCACCTCCTCACCCCCTCTGGCTGCTTCTCCCTAGGATATTTTACCAGGAAGGACATTGCATTTTCCTTTGCATGAATAGGAAGTTGGGTCATATTTTGTATCCCACAGGATAAACAATTCATGGATCTTTCTGGACTTCCAGTGTCATAGCAGACAGTGCAAGATACCCGCTGTGGTCTCTTTTCTGTTTATGACTGTAGCCTAAATAGTTAAGGAGACAAAAGGAGGCATCCCAGGGAGTGATTCCTGCTCCAAAACTCCTTTGTATTATTCTAATAACCGCGTCATGGGAACATCACAAACAGTTTTTAGGGCAGGGACTCAGGACAACCTCTGCCTCCCACGTGAATATCCTGAATTTGGCATTGTGTTTTGCACAGAGGAATTCAGTTAAAAGAAGAGGTGACGTAGAGCACTTAGGCAGAAGCCGTCTGGAGGCTACTTGTTTTCCTAGGAAAATAATGCTGGTGTGCATTTCTCTCCTCCTGAGCAGCTGAACTTGCTGTCCGTGTCCTGGATGAACTCCCCAGCCCCTGTGCTGCACAGAGGACAGATACAGCCATCACACCCTCCTCTCACTGTGCTCAGAACCTGATCTCTGCTTTATAAATGAAGGGACTTATGATGTTTTTTGTCTTTTTTTGCTTTCTTTTCTCGGGAGATGTCAGGCCATGAATCACAGTTGGAAGGGAGGCATTTCCTGGTTAGCAGTGTTGAGCCCCAGAAAGAGGCACATCCGAAGGACTGAAAGCTTCCCTTTGCATTAGCTTTGTGTTTGTTAACTATCGGTGCATTCAGTTTTGGCACCTAATTAACTCCTTGTGCTCCCTGGGAGCTGAGGCTGAACACCAGGCTCCGAATTTTGCTCCAAGGAACAAAGCTCAGGTACTCTCCTGTCTCCCTCTAAACTCCTGGAAGGCTGAACATCATGCTGACAATGCTGAAAAACAGGAGGGACGGTGCTTTCCGTGTGGGGCAGTACTGTACCTGAGAGCCAGGACTCCTGCGTGCAAAACTAAGCTGTTAAAAGACTGCTTGAACACAGCACAGAACTCAGTGAAGAATTTCATCCTTGTCCATCTTGATTACAGCCAGATCTCCTCACCCCTTGGGCAAATATAATAATTCTTTCTATTATTTTTATGGCTTTGGTCTTTTTTTTAGTTATAGCAGTGGGTTTATTCCCAGTGTATGGTCAAAATGTCAGTCAGTCATCAAAATGTGACCACAGTTGTGTAATTTAGACCGTAGAAATATATATATATATATATAAAAAAGCCAACAACCCCAAAAAGCAATATTGGATATAAGCAGAGTGCTGTTAGGCCTGCCGGGAACTGTCTGCCACATACCTGAAAAATGGCCATGAGATGTTAAATGACAGCCGGTGATAAAGACACTTGGCTTTGGTACATCAGGCCCCACTCCAGGTTAGAAAACAGCCCTCGGCTGTTGCATGGGGATTTTAATTTGGATGCCCCGAGTGGAGGGAGTAAGTGTGCAGGGTGGCTCTCAACGGGAGCCTGGTTTGGATGCGGCAAGCGTGCGGGAGGGGAAGCCACCGTGTCCTGAGCAGGTCCCAGCTAAGGTCACCTAAGGCGGAGCAGGGATGCGCTGCCCACCCCGTCACCGCTCTGTGGGGAGGGGCGCGCACCGGACCTGGGGTCTAAGCCCCGGTTGCCGGATCTGGCTCTGTGCAGCGGGGGGGGGGGAGCATAAGGCACGACACGCCGGTGATGTCCGCAGTGGGACCGTGCTCGCCCCGGGGGGGATCCGTGCGCGTGCGCGCCCCGCGGTCCCCGTTCCCACCTGCGCGGCGCGGAGCCCGGTGCGCGGCGGGGCGGGGCGGGGATCGCGCGTAACAGCCTGCAGCCGCGCCCCGCGCCCGGGAGGCGGCGGCGCCGGCGAAGGTGCCTCCCCGCCCGCAGCGGCAGCAGCACCAGCACCAGCCCCAGCAGCACTGGCAGCGCCAGCGGCAGCGGCATCAGGAGCACCGGCGTCACCAACACCGGTAGTCTCAGGCTCCGTCACCGCCGGCGCGCAGCGGCTCCGCGGCTCGGTGCCGGCAGGTGATTAAGCGGATGAGCGATCTGCGGGGGGCAGGCGGCAGGGCTTAGCCGCGGCCGCCCGCTGCTGCGGAAAGGCTGCTGCAAGCCCGGCGGAGGGACGCCGAGAGGTGTGCGGGGAAGGGGCACATAGCGGCCGGAGCCGCAAGTTGTGTCGGCGGCCGGAGCGGGGCAGGGGCGCAGCGGCCCCAGGAGGACCGAGCTGCGGGTGCCGGGGGCACCGGCGGGGCGCCGGGTGTCGGGGGTGACCCGGCGGGATCCGCCGTGGCTCCGGTGGCGCTGGGCGGTCGCCAGGTTCGGGGCTGGTCGGGGACGAGGGGTGCGGGGCAGCCGTGGACACGGGCTGGGGGCTCCGGACTTGGGGCTGGCGGGAACTTTAGTTGCGGTCTGGCATAAGGGTCCGCTTTCCCGTGGGGATAGGACTCGGTCCAAACCCACTAAACAGTTCGTTTGGCGAAAATCTTTACAACTCAAGTCACAAAATGCTTCCCTGTAGGACACATGAATACCAGATCTTTAAAATGAAAGCGCTGCTGAAAGCCTTGTAGAGGAGCTTTGCTTGGCAAGCTTGAGCAATGAAGGCTTTCAATAAAGAAAATATATTGTCTTCCAACTGGATGCAAAAAATAGAGCTGAATTGTCGCTTCCTAAATCTATCCTGATTCCTGGCTTTCGGTTAGGAGAGCTTTTAGTGGCGTTCAAGTGCCACGGCCATCATGTTCTCTAAATATCTCCTAATCCTGAGGCAAGCCAAAGTCTGTTGGTGTTCAGTGGGTTTTGTACATGTAGGGCATAGGCATACTTCATTCTTACTTCATATTTACTTTATGTTGATACAAATTCAATGCTTCTGCTCAGCCCTGTGTTTTGGCAGAGTGCTCTCTTGCAGCGGAACTGGGGGGACCTTCTAAATGAAGCTAACAAGTAAAATATGCTTTGAAATGGAGTGCAGATGGGAAGCCTCTTAAGTATTGTGTTGCACAACAGTGTGCTCTCTGTGTGTGACATTCAGCTTGCAAAACTCTAGGTTTTATGAATTCATCCACAATCTGAGCTGGTCCCTGTGCTATTCAGAAATACTGTGCATTGATGTGTGGAACAGCAGCGGTTCTGATGAGAGAGGTTAATTCATCTCTCTCCTGACAGCGCTTTTGATGCCTGACACCTCTGGTCAGCGTGTTTGTTAGAGATGTGTGTGTGCTCTAAGTTTTTAATTCCAAAACAATTCTCAAATTGTTGAATAAGAAGAGTAACTGGTGTTTGCTGGCTCAGGTAGGTGGTGTCTTAACTTTCCTTGAGCTGTTTTGTGAGTTATGCAGCTGTCTCTTGCATCTTAATGTGTTACTGTGGATTGCCATTTCCTACTGACTGATAGTAATAGATAGTAGCATCCTCGACATCAGAAACTGAGGTTCTTTACCCCCACATCTCACCCTTTCTTCACGGTAGGGAGTGTCTCTGGCTCCATCTCCTGGCTCAAAAAGAAGATCCCCCTTCATGAAGGGGGTATGGAGAGATGGGAAGCCTCGTGGTTTTGGTGAAAGGTGATGAAGGTTTCTTCTTGGACTTGAACAGTGAGACCTGTCACAGCAGGGTTACCTCCGTTTTCTGACTGGGGTGGGAATTGTCTTCTCACTTTTTTAATGGAAAGAGAGTGTCTCTTATGTTACTTTTTATTAGGATTTGGAAAGATTTTCGATGTAGTGACTAAATTTTATCATGGTATTTAAAAATTCATAATTTAGTATTTTTATTACTTGCATGGATATGCTGGAAAGGTTAGTCATCTTGCCTGATATATCTTGTGTGTGGTCTTTTGGTGGAAATGTATTAATGATGTATCCTATATGTCACGATTTTTCTTCATGGTCAGGAAAACGTGTTGCCTGCAAATTCTTAATCCATTTGAAATAGAAAACCTGTAGCAGAATGGAAGGATCTTGCTGTGATTTAGAGCCTATGCATATACTATGAGTGTGAGCAGAGGTAATCCTGTTCTGCAAACACAGATCCACAGAGAAGAGGATCCTTCCTTCATGGAGGACCTTCTGTATGCCTTGTCTTTAGTGCAGAGCAACTTTCTTCAAGTGCAGCTGGCAGGAGGAAGGAACTTAAGCAGGCTGTGGAATCAGGGTACCTGTCCTACCCCTGACAGCCAGGCTTCTGTACTTACTCACCATACCCCAGAGTGAAAGGAGAAGGTGGCAGACTGTTCTGACACTGATCATCGGTCCTCGAGATGCTGTTGGTGGGGAACAGAGCAATAAGGTATAACTGAAGCTGGCAGGTATGTGAAATTGCAAAGATCTCTTTTGTTTCTCTGTAAATGTCCTGTTTATTCCAGCAAATGCCAAACAGGCCTACGTATGTCTGTGCCATTTAATGCTTCATTGTTATTGTTTAAAGTATGACGAATCGTGTGGGTTTAGGGTAAGAACTGACAAAGCATGGTGTAGTTGGGTGCTGCCTATTTTTTTTAATTTGTGTGGCATTCTCTGCCTTCCCTATGGACACTAGGGGTTTTTATGCCCTACTGCAGAGTGTCCCTGGTTGCATGCAGAGACATTTCTCTTGACACAGGCAGCCTGGCAGCAGGGGATCCCTGGGAAGCAGACAGCTTCTGGTGGGTTGTGGTGCCCCAAGGTTTCTCTCTGGTCAATCAGAACCCTTCTTTTGAGGCTGAACATTGGTGAGTCTCTGAAAGCATGTTATGTCCAGAGTCCACTGCAGCAAGGAAGAAAGATGCTTCTCGGCAGATTTACTGTATACCATCTGAGGTCTGCACTTGGCTTTTGACCATGCTTCATGCCTGCTGCAACCACAGAGCCACCGCCACCACTAACCTTCCAAGGCTGAGCTGAATTATTTTCTGACTCGTGTATCGCCAAGAGACGCATCAGCTACAAGAGATTCCAGCTGCAGAATGTGTGTGCGCAGCGTGTCTTGTTCAGATGTTATTTCCTTAATAAAATTGCTCATTTGGTGTGAAGAGCTGTTGGCTGGTTAGGGTGTTGGGTTTTTTTCCACCCCCCCTCTTTCCTTCTAGCCCTGGGATATAACAGTCAAGTTTTGTTCTCTGGCTTGTTTTGTAAGTTGATTTAAGGTGCAGTCCACAGTCCTGGTAGGGCTGTGACTGCAGAGAACATGAGGTGGTAGCTTGTTTGACGTGTGGGTAGAAATGGGTGCTTTGGTAAGTACTGTGTGTTTGTGAAGGACAGTAAAAATGCAGCAGCCCTTAAAGAAGGTTTCACAGGGTTTAACTGGGGAGCTGCCTACAACCAGCTTTGTGAGAATGCTGGCGGCAAGGACTGTAGTGAAGTCTGAGTTGATGTGAATGTGCCCTGACTTCACACGTAAACTCATGCACACACACACGTTCATTCACTATAGGCTGAGGCATTTTTCTTCAGAGTCTTGTTGCTTTTCTTCTTTCCTGTTCTTCCACCAGACTGTGCCTGTGGTAGCTGTCACTGTGGTGGAGAGGTTTGGTTTGCAGTAAAGTCTGTGAGGGTGTGAACAGCCTGTGGGCAGGACTTGGTACCTCTGCTCTACCTCTTACGCTTATTGTAGAAATGCTACAATGGAAGACTTCTGGAATAAATGCACTCTGTTTTGCTATGCTAAAAATTTGTAACAGCCCGAGACTGCTAACGAGGAATTATAATATATTCAAGTAAAACACATGGGAATACAGTGGAATTCCATTGTTGTGTGCCAAAATGTAGTAAATGAGCAAGAGCTTAACCCAGGACTCAGGTGAAATGTTGCCATTTCTGCATAGTGCCCCATGAATGTTGACGGTGATCAGTGGTTGAAGCCACTTGTCTCTTGAGCAAAAACCTGGCACAGGTCCTGGTCTATTTCCTAGAGCTGTAGAACTGGGGTACTTAGAAATGCTTTGTCTTCAGGACCTAGCTTCAGTCCATCTGGAGTCTCAGAGGTCCATCTCCAGGCTTCCTGGTTGTGGGAAGATGGCTGTAGCACTGTTAGTAGTCTTAGTGCAAGGCCAGCTCAGGTCAAGTAGATCCCTAGAGCATTAGGAGAAGTTGGCTCTGCTGCTCCTAGATCTGCATGGGCAGTAGCATTGCTGTGTTTGCTTAGCCCTGTGCTGGAATGAGGTATGGTGGTTTTGGGACATGTCATACCCATGTCATGTTTTAATAGTTTATATGTAACTCCCCTCCTGTGAATGGGTGGTGGCCTATATCTAATTTTATGTAAATCTAATGTAAATATGAAACATAAGTTGAACATTGCAAAAGGAAGGCACTTGGCACAGCTGCCAGCTTTGTTTCCTTGAGATTTAGGTTCACATTGGCATAGTTAATTTGGTTTGTCCCATTTGCATCTCAAGCCATTCTTATTGCATGGAGAACCTCTTGGCTCCAGATGAATTCTGCTGGAGCTGAAGATTTGCAGAAACTTGCAGAATTTGACCTTTTGTCTCAAGAAACTGTGGTGCAGCTTCCAAATACTATTGTACAAAATAGACAGGGAATATATCTGTAAATCCCTGCAGCTGCTGATGAGCTGGGAGAGCAGCAGGGCAGCGTTGATATTGCTGACACAGGAGTTGTAGAGAGGAGCAGGAATCTTACCCCAGGAGCAGGAAGGAAATGCATTTTCCAAGTTCTTGTCTGTAATCCAGGATGGTCAAGAGTGCCTTAGTGAGGTCAAGCTTCTGTGCTGGTTATTCACAGATGATGATGAGGGAGTAGCGATACCAGGCAAAAGATCTCTGTCCTATGTCTTTGAACACTGCCCTTCATTTCTTGGGGACAGGATGTTTTGCGATGTGGGCTGATCCAGTTTCAGCTCTTGTGCTCTTCTAGGTCAAAGCTGAAAGAGCAGAGGGGAGGAGAGTATAGCAGCCGAAGCAAAAAACTATGGAGATCCTTAAACACATATGTAGGAAACAGCTTTTAAAAAAGCTGTTTAAAATATGAATGAGCATGAGATGTAAATAACTTGCTAAGAGGCCAGCTTCCAGAGACAGGATAACCTTAGGGGACTGCTTGGCTTGTACCAGATACTCCTCTGTCTGTCTGAAGTTTCTGGCTCTTTCCCAGATTCTTGAATGTGAAAATATTTATTGAAAGTGACTTCTTGATGCTGTGGGTCTTGACCAGTGACCTAGGAATAAGTGTGTTTTGTTGAGCTGATACTGATGCCTTTTTGGGTTTGAGTACAGAATGGATTTATTTGTTGACTAAGTGGCATCTCCGGTGTAAATGCTCTGTTGCTTGGTTGATGATGAGCCAACTGATATGAAATTGGGGAAGGTTGCTTTCTTTAGCAAAGGGAAGTTATTTCTTGTCATCTCCTGGGAAGAAGGATGCAAAGGATGGAGGAATGCTTTCTGCATAAAGCAGAATTACATTGTTCTTGAAATAAGGGTGAAAAGAGTGAAATGTTTTTGGTAGGAGCCACCAGGCACCACCTGCATAAGAAGACCCAACAGTGATGCAAGAGATCCTGAAGATTTAAAACTGTGCTGCCCTGTTGCATTTCCCTCACTGGCATCTGAACAGGGGAGCAGGGAGGAAAAGGTGAGAAAGGGCTGCATATGGGATGCTCCTCTAGGAAGGTGAAAGGCAGGAAAGGAAAAAACTCTAAGTGCCTGTTGGAAGGGGGAGCGAACCGAGGTAGGTAGGTTGCATCTTGTAGAGAAAGCACGTAAGTGTCCATGCAGCAGCATCTTCTGGCTGCTGGAGGTGTTGGGCTCTTTCAGTGGCGCTCAGAAGCTACGTGGGTTCAAAAGACCTCTCTTCAGGGCGGTCTGGCCAGCTGGACTTCAATGAAATTATTTGTCGTTTACACCGATCTACAGGAATGTGGCTATTCTCTCCTAGCTGTAGGCTCTGTTTTAAGCTTTGGATAAAGGCAGTGTCTTCTGGCTTCTCATGCCCAGCTGCTTCAATCCTTTTAAAGTGTTGCTTTCACTTAAACACCATGAAGTGCCTTCCATTGCAGCTTCTAAAGCAGAAGTTTAGACCAGCCAAGATGGTTTCTGAAGTTACCCTCCAGGGAAGAAACTTCTAAAGAAGCCGCCTCTCAGCCACGGTATTTGGGCAGCGTTCCGGAAACAGCTGTTGGGGATGCAAAAGGCTGAACTGGAATCTGGTTCATGGCTGAAAAGCTAGTTTGCCATTAAAACTAAAATATAAGAGAGTCCAGCTGCCTGCAAAGAGCAGCAGCTGGCTTGAGCAGCCGGTGTGCTCCTTGAGGAACAGGGGAAAATACGTTTTATATTGTCTTCCATCAGCTCAGCTGCCCTTTATAAACAAACACTAAATCTGCCAAAGGCAGTTGTTTGTGTTGCAGGTGAATTGCAAGAGAGCGTTTGGGGGATGTGGGGACATATGCTAGTAGTTTTAAGGACACCTCGTAGTACTGCTTATAATTTAATTCAGATCTCAAAAGGAGTAATATAAGTGCCGTTTCCACTATGTGATCCCTTTGCTTAGCAAAGCCTCCTGCCAGTGCTTAGTTATGAGTAGGAAATAATTGTCTTTGGTGTTGCAATGATGACTTTATATAATGAAAGTGATATTGGTTGTACTAGTCCCAGAGTTGCAGCAAAGTGAAAGCAACAGGCTGTGGTCAAGGAATAGGGGGAGACTGGTCATTTCTTCTTCTATAAACTTTTGAATAATGATTCCTTTTCTTTTCATGGTTAGAAAGTTTAAGTCTTACCTGATGATCTAAAAATACTGTACAATATATGGTAAGTTTTGAAGCTTGAGTGGAGTACAGCAACTGCAAAAATAATTTATACATGAAACCCCTCTCTGAGCAAAATAATTGGGGAGAGGGAGGAGGAGGAACCTGGAATGAGCTATTTGTGCTGTTTCTGGCTTTTCTAAATCTAAGTTGGCAGCAGGGTGGTGGATTTTCAGAAAAAAATGCTCACAGGGATAGTTGTCCTTCCTTGCACATATACTGTGTTAATAAGCAGTTGTGCATGGAAGTAATTTGCAGTCTAGTTTCTATTTATCCTGCAACAAAGGCATTTTAAGCTTTTGCTGTTGAGATGGTATGGAAGCCATAAACATCCATAGGTCTCTACAGCAACATTTGGGTCAGGTATTTAGCAACATTTGGGACAGTTATTTAGCAACACTTGGGATGGGTATTTATATATTTTATATATATATACATATTATAGATTTTGTCTCTAAATTGGAGAGACATCAATTTGACAGGTGGACCACTCGGTGGATAAAGAACTGGCTGGATGGCTGTTGTGGTCAATGGCTCAATGTCCAGCTGGAGACCAGTGACAAGTGGTGTCCCTCAGGGATTGGTGTTGGGACCAGTCTTGTTTAACATCTTCATCGCTGACATGGACAGTGGGATTGAGTGCGCCCTCAGCAAGTTTGCCGATGACACCAAGCTGTGTGGTTCGGTTGATACCCTGGAGGGAAGGAATGCCATCCAGAGGGACCTCGACACACTTGTGAGGTGGGCTGATGCCAACCTCATGAAGTTTAACCATGACAAGTGCAAGGTCCTACACCTGGGTCAGAGCAATCCCAGGCACAGCTACAGGTTGGGCAGAGAAGAGATTCAGAGCAGCCCTGCGGAGAAGGACTTGGGGGTGTTGGTGGATGAGAAAATGAACACGAGCTGGCTTCAGTGTGCGCTCGCAGCCCAGAAAGCCAACCGTATCCTGGGCTGCATCAAAAGGAGCGTGACCAGCAGGTCGAAGGAGGTGATCCTGCCCCTCTACTCTGCTCTTGTGAGACCTCACCTAGAGTATTGTGTGCAGTTCTGGTGTCCTCAACATAAAAAGGACATGGAACTGTTGGAACAATTCCAGAGGAGGGCCACGAGGACAATCAGGGGACTGGAGCACCTCCCGTATAAAGATAGGCTGAGGAAGTTGGGGCTGTTCAGCCTGGAGAAGAGAAGGCTGCGTGGACACCTCGTAGCAGCCTTCCAATATCTGAAGGGGGCCTATAGGGATGCTGGGGAGGGACTCTTCAT